TAAGCAATCCCTAATGTCTTTTTCTATCTAAACCTGCCATTACAGGGCCTTTGTGAAATAAAATATTTCCAAAAGGGACATCTGATAATACAAAAATACAACAGGTTAAAAAGAGTTTGATTAAAACTCTGAAAAATGCACCCTCCCGAAAGTTAATTTTTATTTTGTTCTTCACAGGGCAGTATTGTTTGGACTTGGCAAGCATGCACACTGCAGTCATTTTCCCGGTTCTGGGGCAGCCACCATTGGCTTTGGTGTGACTAAGAAACAAAATGCTTAGAGCTGAGCTCTTGGTGGCCTGCTTATCCACTTGGCTGGGTCCTATTGTCCTGCCGACACCCAATGGACACGTGAGCAGCCAGAACATTTTGTGAATATGCAGGAGTTTCCTCCAAGAACCACAAAAGGCCTCTGTGTCTCAGAGAAAATTAGGTTCCTGCTGTAAACTGCCCTTTGGGGGAAAGGAAGAGAAATTCCAGAGGAGGGGAGGAAAAAGAGATAAAATTCATTTCAACTACTCCTCTCAATTATGATTAAAACAACGATGACATTACGTGCCAATTGTACATTTTAGATACTGGCCTGCCTCAGACACATCTTCCAACTGGTTTCCTCTGTATGTATTTATTTTTCTTTAAATATCCTGAGACGTGCACATTATTATCTTCTGTGGACATCTTTAGTAAACAGGGAGCTTAGGCATGTTTGCATTGTTCTGGCTTGTTGCAGTTGTTGACCTGATTGGATCATGCACTGCTTTGATCACTTAAAAATGAAAGCAGTTTTTATTGCAAATTGCGCTGGGATGATTTGAAAACCAAACAAACCAAAAGGACATGTTCTATTTATTCTTTATTACTCACACATTTAAAGAACACACAGACCTTCCTCCCCTCAATCCCCCAAATATGAATGTGTTTAGAAGATACTTTTAAAACCACCTTTTCTTTTAGCCTTGTAGGCAAAATCCTCTGGAGGGTGCTTCATAAAAAGGGTCTACAGCTTGGCAATTTTGATTTGGAAAAGTACACTTTAAATTATTTTTCCAGACTCTCACCAAAGTCCTGTTTTACAGGCTTAGGAGTTTCCTTTTGGACACTAACATTTATTGGCCATATAACCCTGGGCACAATAGCTAAACCTTAAGTTTCATTTTCTTCATCTATAAAATCGGGATAACTGTTCAAAAGCTTATCGAAAGGATGAAATATTTTAAAGCATGTTTAGACATTCAAAACAAATTTATACTATTTTTCCTTATGGTGTTATTTTTCAATTTACAAATAAGAAAGTTGAATCTCAAATTAAATGACTTGTCCAACTACTCACAGCACACAGGTATTAGAATCTAGAAACAAACTCTATTCTTGTGCCTTAAAATTCACTTCTTCCTCTTTTCTTCATATAATGGAAACATCTAAGTAAAGACTTTGTACTACTGTATGCACATTGTTTCAAGATTAGTCCCTTGTCACCCCCTAGTAGATAGTCAACACAAAGTCCCTTGTATTAAGACATTCTAAAGCTGCCATTTTCTCTATATTATTTTTATTAAAATGTCCCCTAACAAAATATACTATTTTTAAAGTGAATTGAGAGGCAATAGTTTTAAAACTACTATTAGCATAATGATGTATCTGTTCCTGTAGTTGCCTTTTCTTGTCTTTTGATCAACAGCAGTGATAGCCTTATATTCTCTGGGCTACAGTCCTGAGGTTATTAAAAGGGAACAAATACCCTAACAGGCTTGTACCTTTGATTTTCTGCCATACTCTCCAAGTTAATGAGTAAGAGGGTCAAGGGAATTTATTCTCGTGCTTTAGGAAATCTACAAACAATATTAAAAAAGAAGTTGGTGGCAGATTAAGAAACTTTTAATAACCTTGTGCAAACTTTCCAGACACTCATTACTCAGTTTCAGTTAGCACGTATAGGTGATTGAAATATGCAATTTCAAAATAGGCTGTGGGAGTTAGAAGAGAGCCAGCAGCTGACAGAGAAGTAGTTTGGGCAAGAAAAAAGGAGGTTTCAGGACCGAGGAGTTCAGTGAGAAAGTCAGCTCTTTTATTTTGCTATATTTGAATGAAAATAACCCATAAGAAGGAATGTTGAAAGCTTTGAAGGGTCTTGCATGCACGCCATTTTGAAACCTGCTAACGAAAGACCACTGATTGATTTATCTGAGGCATACATATTTTGATTAAAAGCCAATACTGTATTCTCTCTTCTCTCTCTTTCTCTTGTTTTCTTAAAATACTTTTTTTCCAAGCAAATAAGAAGCTTCCTAACTGCTTTCTCTGTTCCAGTCTAAGAAACGGAGATTCCAAGATATTTTCCTATTTATCTTTGAACAGGTGTTTATCTTCCTAATGCTATGTTTCTCAGACCCAACTGTAAAATTGCACATAGATTGAGATTATCAACTGGATTTCAACTCTAACCTTAGCTCCTTCTACTTCTGAAAACTTGTGCCAGCCATATTATGGTTTAAGGCAGGATGTATTGAGTATTATATCAACATTTGACAGAACAATGCCTAAGGCTCAGAAAAGCTAAATGATTTATCCAAAGTCACATAGCTACTGGTAGAGTTTAGAACATTTGACTGAGATCAAGCTATAATAGATTCCAAGTCCTTGGGCTGCATCCCACCATTCATTTCCTACCTATAAAATAATGATAATAATAATCTCTGCTCTTCCTTCTCACAGAATTTTTTGTAAGAATCAAGTAAACTAGTATTTGTGAAAATGTTTTATACACCCAATGTAGAAATGAACAAGTACGAATGTTTCAGGGAGAATACAGAAAGGATAATTAAAGTGAAGGAAGCCACAGGATCAAGAGCATCCAGGAGAGAGAGATTGTGTTATAGTTTGGATGTGGTTTGACCCTGCCAAAACTCATACTGAAATTTGATCTTTAAGGTGGCAGCATTAGGGGATGGGCCTAGTGGGAGGTATTTGAGCCAGGAGGTAGATCCCTAATGAATTGACTAATGCCCTCCACTGGGGTGAGTGAGTTCTTGCTCTCACTGGAATGGATTGGTTGTTAAAAATAATCTGGCTTCCTCAGTTTCTCTCTCTTGCTTCTTCCCTCACCATATGATCTCTTTGCATTTGTCTACGCCCCCTTGGCTTTCTGCCATGAGTAGAAGCAGCATGAGGTCTTCACCAGAAGGTGAGCAGATGCTGTTGCCATGCCCTTTGAACTTTCCAGTCTGCAGAACTGTAAGCTAAATAAACCTCTTTTTCTTATATGTTACCTAGTCTCATGTATTCTGTTTTAGCAACACAAAACTAAGACAGAATGTCATACCTAAAATACAGTTGACATTACACCAACTTGAATGGGAATTCATGTGGTAGAGCTGGGGTTGGTAAACTTTTTCTGTAAAGGCCAGAGGGTAAATATTTCAGGCTTTGCAGCCCATATGTTCTGTCTCAAACACTCAACTCTGCATGAAAGCAGCCATAGACAGTATGTAAATAAATGAGCGTGGCTAGATTCCAATAAAACTTTATTTATGGACACTGACATTTAGATTTCATATCTTTTTTCATGTATTATAAAACATTATACTTTTTTGATTTTTCTTTCATTTAAAAATGTAAAAACTATCTTTAACTCACAGGGCCTCCATAAACAGGCAGTGGGTCAGATTGGGCCCACATGGACAGAGTTCAAGATTCCTGCTATAGGGCAATGAAAAATGATGACGTTGTTGACTCATTTGGGTAACACTTGATAGGCAATACAATGTCACTAAAGTTCATTAGTAAGAAGATTATAAGTTTGGAGTGCTTAGGGCTGCAAGGAACCAAGAAAGTTGATTAACATCAGCTATGATGATAAGGGCGTGCATAGTATGGTTAACAAGAAATCTGAATGTAGAAGTTTGACAGTCCATTCAGAAGTTTAACAGTGTCCTCACTGGTCCAGACTCTTTTCATCCTTTTGTGCCTCCATTCTCGGCATTTGACTTTCCATATTTATGCTTAATGCTGCACTGTCCAATGATTGCTGCCACAGCTTCAAGCATCATGTCCTCACAACAGCATCCCCAGCATAAAAGAAGGGTAAGATTGTTCACCCACAAGTTCTCCCCCTATCAGTCCTTTTTGTCAGGAAGCAAATGCTTTCCCAGAAGCCCCACCACAGACTCCTCCTTTGCTAAAGTTGGGCCAGGTGACCATATCTTTGCATTGCAAAGGAAAATAAATTTCTCACGATTGGCTTACATCAATCATCATTTATCACATTGCACCAAACAAAATTAGGATTCCATTAGCAAGGAAGAAGTCAAGCAATGGCTGTTGGGTAGGCCACTGACAGGACCTGCTTTAATGGAAGAAGCAATTTTTATGGGAAATTGAGCTAGAAATCAAGCTGAGGTAGGATGAAATTTTTGGATTCCCACAAGATCTATCTTACCACGTAATATGGAATTATTAATTAATGCTTCTATTTTATAAATGGACAAAAAAATTGCTGATGGCCAGGCCTATATCTTATTTATTAGGGTGCTCTCTATCTGGCATATGTTTGCAATTATTTTGGCATTGAGAATACTTGACAAATTGAAATGTTAAGACTTGGAGGCAGAGCTAAATAAATAAATCTTCCAGAAAAAAAGAGTGTCTGAATTAGAGATAAAGAAGAAGAAATGGAATAACAAAGATGAATGTTCATAAATTGAAGCATATGTGACTTTATTTTCCCTGTGGGAAAAACTGAAGTCTTCTTGGGAGCAATGCCGATTCCTTGCTCATGCCTCCTAATATTGTTATATTCTCAGTGGAATGGAAAAGACTGGATTCAGTCTTTATGTGTCACAGTGAATCCGCCAAAAAAAGAAGAAGAAAAGTTATCAGTATTCTACTACAAAATGGCTAAGAAAAAAAATCTGAATGCATTCAAAAAATTTCACTACAAATGAAAAGACAGACTCATAGCATGGGTATTTCATCAGTAACAATTGGGAGCAACATTGTCAACTACATAAAATTAGGTGTTTCATCTTCTGTTCTTTTGTTTTAGGAGAAAAATGTAAGAATGTGTTATAGTCTCTTCTAACTTGTAAATTGGTAGCCAGACACTCTGACCAGATGGCAACACCCCAGTGAATAAGGTAAGCAAAGCTTTGTTACTAGAAAAATCAAGAGAAATATGAATGCCTTTGTGTCTAATTTTTGAGACAATATATTGTGAGTTTGATGTTATGAAATAAAATGTACAGCAAAAGTCAATCTGTTACATCATTAATGATATGCTTATGATTTGTCACGCTGCATGATAGAAAGACAAAGACAGTAAATAGTTCATTTACATGGATATAATTATTATTAATTTTATGTAGAAAAGCCAAGATTTTATAATTTGTGTTTTTCTTTATGAGTTTACCATTATCTGTAACCATGTCAATGTATAGTACCTCCCTTAACATTTTTTATAGCTTTTCTCCATCACATATAAAGACAATGTACATTCATAGTGCAATTCATACCAAGAGTCACATGCTCCTTTACAGACATATTTCTGAGGTCTGCTTCCTTCATAGCCAGAGTTTCCTAAGCACTTTACCCTCTTAACCTCAGGTCTAATGCCCCTGTTTCAGTTACCCCTCACATTCCTGGTTACTTCTTCTACTCTTCCCACTCGTACCATCTTCCATTACTCTAGACAGGGATGACAAAGGAGTTTTATCTAAAATGCCAACTCCAAGTGCATTGTACTGGTTGCTTGGGGAGCTGTATTTAGAAAAATTGTGAGAATGATACTATGGGCCTGGGATGTAAAGAGAGCTGGGTATCTGCCTTTCCTCATTTTAGTGGTTCTTAGAAGTTATTGTTTGATCCTCCCTATATCTGAGGAGAACCAGTCCTCAGTATCATAGCCACTGAAGAACTTAAGACAGAAAGAAGTAAGGGGCATGATACCACAGCGGCCTGGCCCACAAGAACATCCTTTCAGAGAGAAAAGGGGGAGGGGTGGGTAAAGAAAGAGAGAGAGAGAGAAGATGGTCAAAGAATGGACTGAAAGCAAGCATGGGCAGAAAGAATAGACACCGAAAGAATGAACTTGAGAAAAAGAAGCAGGGTCATGCCCAAGATGGCCGAATAGGAACAGCTCCAGCCTCCAGCCCCCAGCGTAACAGCTCCAGCCTCCAGCCCCCGGCATGAGCAACACAGAAGACGGGTAATTTCTGCATTTTCAAATGAGGTGCAGACCGACACCTCACACCTCACATGGCTGGATAACCCCCTGAGACGAAGCTTCCAGAGCAAGAATCAGACAGCAACACTTGCTGTTCAGCAATATTCTATCTTCTGCAGCCTCCGCTGCTGATACCCAGGCAAACAGGGTCTGGAGTGGACCTCAAGCAAACTCCAACAGACCTGCAGCTGAGGGTCCTGACTGTTAGAAGGAAAACTAACAAACAGAAAGGACACCCACACCAAAACCCCATCAGTATGTCACCATCATCAAAGACGAAAGGCAGATAAAACCACAAAGATGGGGAAAAAGCAGTGCAGAAAAGCTGGAAATTCAAAAAATCAGAGCGCATCTCCCCCTCCAAAGGAATGCAGCTCATCGCCCACAACGGAACAAAGCTGGATGGAGAAAGACTTTGATGAGTTGAGAGAAGAAGGCTTCAGTCGATCAAACTTCTCAGAGCTAAAGGAGGAACTATGTAACCAGCGCAAAGAAACTAAAAACCTTGAAAAAAGATTTGATGAATGGCTAACTAGAATAACCAATGTAGGGAAGTCCTTAAAAGAACTGATAGAGATGAAAACCATAACACAAGAACTACATGACAAATGCACAAGCTTCAGTAACCAACTTGATCAACTGGAAGAAAGAGTATCAGTGATTGAAGATCAAATGAATGAAATGAAGTGAGAAGTGTAGAGAAAAAAAGAGTAATAAGAAATGTACAAAGTCTCCAAGAAATATGGGATTATGTGAAAAGACCAAATCTATGTCTGATTGGTGTGCCTGAAAGTGACGGGGAAAATGGAACCAAATTGGAAAACACCCTGCAGGATATCATCCAGGAGAACTTCCCCAACGAAGTAAGGCAGGCCAATATTCAAATTCAGGAAATACAGAGAACACCACAAAGATACTCCTTGAGAAGAGCAACTCCAAGACACATAATTGTCAGATTCACCAAAGTTGAAATGAAGGAAAAACGTTAAGGGCAGCCAGAGAGAAAGGTCGGGTTACCCAACAAAGGGAAGCCCATCAGACTAACAGCAGATCTCTTGGCAGAAACTCTCCAAGCCAGAAGAGAGTGGGGGCCAATATTCAACATTCTTAAAAAAAGAATTTTCAACCCAGAATTTCATATCCAGCCAAACTAAGATTCATAATTGAAGGAGAAATAAAATCCTTTACAGACAAGCAAATGCTGAGAGATTTTGTCACCAGGCCTGCCCTACAAGATATCCTGAAGGAAGCACTAAACATGGAAAGGGACAACAGGTACCAACCATTGCAAAAACATGTCAAAAAGTAAAGACCATCAATGCTAGGAAGAAACTGCATCAACTAACGAGCAAAATAACCAGCTAATATCATAATGACAGGATCAAGTTCACACATAACAGTATTAACCTTAAATGTAAATGGATTAAATGCTCCAATTAAAAGACACAGACTGGCAAATTGGATAAAGAGTCAAGACCCATCTCACATGCAGAGACACATATAGGCTCATAATAAAGGAATGGAGGAAGATCTACCGAGCAAATGGAAAACAAAAAAAGCAGGGGTTGCAATCCTAGTCTCTGGTAAAAGCGACTTTAAACCATCAAAGATCAAAAGAGACAAAGAAGGCCATTACATAATGGTAAAGGGATCAATTCATCAGGAAGAGCTAACTATCCTAAATATATATGCATCCAATACAGGAGCACCCAGATTCATAAAGCATGCCCTTAGAGACTTACAAAGAGACTTAGACTCCCATACAATAATAATGGGAGACTTTAACACCCTACTGTCAACATCAGACAAATCAATGAGACAGAAAGTTCACAAGGATATCCAGGAATTGAACTCAACTCTGCACCAAGTGGACCTAATAGACATCTACAGAACTCTCCACCCCAAATCAACAGAATATACATTCTTCTCAGCACCACATCGCACTTATTCCAAAATTGACCACATAGTTGGAAGTAAAGCACTCCTCAGCAAATGTAAAAGAACAGAAATTATAACAAACTGTTCCTCAGACCACAGAGCAATCAAACTAGAACTCAGGACTAAGAAACTCAATCAAAACCGCTCAACTATATGGAAACTGAACAACCTGCTCCTGAATGACTACTGGGTACATAATGAAATGAAGGCAGAAATAAAGATGTTCTTTGAAACCAATGAGAACAAAGATACAACATACCAGAATCTCTGGAACACATTTAAAGCAGTGTGTAGAGGGAAATTTATAGCACTAAATGCCCACAAGAGAAAGCAGGAAAGATCTAAAATTGACACCCTAACATCACAATTAAAAGAACTAGAGAAGCAAGAGAAAACACATTCAAAAGCTAGCAGAAGGCAAGAAATAACTAAGATCAGAGCAGAACTGAAGGAGATAGAGACACAAAAAACCCTCCAAAAAATCAATGAATCCAGGAGCTGGTTTTTTGAAAAGATCAACAAAATTGATAGACCGCTAGCAAGACTAATAAAGAAGAAAAGAGAGAAGAATCAAATAGACGCAATAAAAAATGATAAAAGGGATATCACCACTGACCCCACAGAAATACAAACCACCATCCAAGAATACTATAAGCACCTCTATGCAAATAAACTAGAAAACCTAGAAGAAATGGATAATTTCCTGGACACTTACACTCTCCCAAGACTAAACCAGGAAGAAGTTGAATTGCTGAATAGACCAATAGCAGGCTCTGAAATTGAGGCAATAATTAATAGCCTACCAACCAAAAAAAGTCCAGGACCAGATGGATTCACAGCCGAATTCTACCAGAGGCACAAGGAGGAGTTGGTACCATTCCTTCTGAAACTATTCCAATCAATAGAAAAAGAGGGAATCCTCCCTAACTCATTTTACGAGGCCAACATCTTCCTGATACCAAAGCCTGGCAGAGATACAACAACAAAAAAGAGAATTTTAGACCAATATCCCTGATGAACATCAATGCAAAAATCCTCAATAAAATACTGGCAAACCGAATCCAGCAGCACATCAAAAAGCTTACCCACTATGATCAAGTGGGCTTCATCCCTGGGATGCAAGGCTGCTTCAACATACGCAAATCAATAAGTGTAATCCAGCATATAAATAGAACCAAAGACAAAAACCACATGATTATCTCAATAGATGCCGAAAAAGCCTTTGACAAAATTCAACAGCCCTTCATGCTAAAAACTCTCAATAAATTTGGTATTGATGGAATGTATCTCAAAATAATAAGAGCTATTTATGACAAACCCACAGCCAATATCATAATGAATGAACGTATTGATGAAATGTATCTCAAAATAATAAGAGCTATTTATGACAAACACACAGCCAATATCATACTGAATGGGCAAAAACTGGAAAAATTCCCTTTGAAAACTGGCACAAGACAGGGATGCCCTCTTTCATCACTCCTATTCAACATAGTGTTGGAAGTTCTGGCTAGGGCAATCAGGCAAGAGAAAGAAATAAAGGGTATTCAGTTAGGAAAAGAAGAAGTCAAATTGTCCCTGTTTGCAGATGACATGATTGTATATTTAGAAAACCCCATCGATTCAGCCCCAAATCTCCTCAAGGTGATAAGCAACTTCAGCAAAGTCTCAGGATACAAAATAAATGTGCAAAAATCACAAGCATTCTTATACACCAGTAACACAGAAACAGAGAACCAAATCATGAACAAACTCCCATTCACAATAGCTTCAAAGAGAATAAAATACCTAGGAATCCAACTGACAAGGGATGTGAAGGACCTCTTCAAGGAGAACTACAAACCACTGCTCAGTGAAATAAAAGAGGACACAAACAAATGGAAGAACATACCATGCACATGGATAGGAAGAATCAATATCATGAAAATGGCCATACTGCCCAAGGTAATTTATAGATTCAATGCCATCCCCATTAAG